GAGTCCCTTGTTTGTCCTGAACAGTTAAACTTTTATGGTTTTATGATGCAAGATTAATGGAAAAACTGTGAACACTTGTAATTCGCTTCAACCTTTTCGAACTTTATGAATGATTATTTTATGTTCAAGTGGTGTGTGTAAGGAGCTGGAAGCACGCAGAGTACGGCTGTTTCTAAAGCACGTAGTGCCATCTGCTGTTAAAAACTAAGCTTAGAATCGATTCGAGAGAGAATCACGATGCATTCGGAAAATTGCAGAATCGATCCACAAATCGATTTATCGTTGCACCCCTAGATAGAGTGCCTGCATGTCATGTCAGTCTGCAGCAAACTTTGGACTCTGACTCATTCTGCGTGAGATCGGATGCCCAGAGAAATTCGTCAGCATTGTCTGTTCATTTCATGATGGCATGTTTGGTCAGGTGCTAGACGATGGTGAGCTGTCTGACCCATTTGGCACTTCATACAGCAGTTATTCAACATTTTTTCCATGATTCTATCTGTGGCTTTTAAGGACTGCGACATGTGCATTCAAATCCAGTTCCGTACAGTTGGCAGCATTTTCAATTTACACAGGCTTCAGGCTCGCACAAAGACACATTCCACAATCCTGCATGACCTTTTGTATGCAGATGACTGTGGCACACACGCACACACGCTCACTAAAGCTCAATCACACTGAAATTATTCAAACATTTTCGCACATTTGAAATTATTATTCATCATTCAATCATTCATGAAAAGAAGAGTTCACTTTTAGTCCCTTTTTCATTGCATTCGATCAAAAATTGTAATATGTCTCTATGAGTTGATATGAAAAATGCATAACACACCTCATCTCAATAACAAACTTGAAGTGGCCTAAATTATTTACTTGAAGTACCCCCTGATATTTTCAGTTAATATTTCAATAATTTAATAGCACATTTGCCTGTTTACTAATATATATATATATACACATATGTATATACACACACACACAGTATACTGTATAGTATCCATTTTAAAGTTATTATCAGAATTACTTTACATAACTATTGTTATTAGAGATAAAAAGGCATGAACATTTTAATATCGCTATTATAGTGACCAAAATGATCACATCTATCAGTATTATCACAATGCTGTTAAAATGTGCTGGAAATATTCAAAAAGTACTGATACACACACTGAAATTATTTCACCAAGTTTTATGTTAAAAACCAACTGATTTTAAACAAATAAAAAAACGTTTGGTGACTTACAACAATAACATGTTATCTACTAACATGTACTACATGTTCAAACAAAGTTTTGACAAAAAAAAAAAGTTTAAACGTCAAACCTCACATTTCAGACTTTAAATGATACATTATAGGAATTGTATCTGCTCCATAAACAATTCTATAGGCTACCGTATTATCAGAGCTTTAAGATTAATAGAACGCACATTAGTTAGTTTTTTTCATCTACCTGTTAAGATTTACAACAAACATTTTAGTCCAGTTTTTGCATTGGTCAGAACAGAAACAGCAGACAGGCTGAATGAAATTATAAATCCTCTTTCTGACAGCAGGTGGCGCTTATGGAACAGCTGAAATAGAGCTGTTTTCTCGGTAATCACTGTAAACAAAGCAACGCTGCACTCATAAGCACTACTGTATTACAACTTTCAACCTTAGATATTTTTATTTTGAAATTATTCATTTATTTAAATTATATGATTTAATGATAGCTTAATTAATGAATAGTTTTTCATGAACTCAATAACCCCTGAAATTTCCTTGTGATCCCCTTTTAGGAAACCCTGCTCTTAGGCATCTTAACATAAACCCACAAACAATAAATATATTTTTAAAATGGAATTTAAAAAAACGCATTAATTAAAAACAAATATACATCTTTAAGTGGCCTCATTGCAAAACTATGGAAGCCCGTTTCCGCCACAGTTGAGAAAAATATAATTCTGTAAGTCATTATAATGAGAAACTTTCTCAAAATTACGACTTAGTATCCCGTTATATTGAGAAACTTTCTCGTAATGACTTAGTTTCTCGTAATAATGAGAAACTTTCTCATAATAATGACTTACTTTCTCATAATAATGACTTTGTTTCGCGTAATGAGAAACTTTCTCGAAATAATGGCTTAGTTTCTCGAAATAATTACTTAATTGACGCATGTGCAACGCAAGAGTGACAGCACGCTAGCGACATCTGTTGGTCAAAGTCATGCAGGAACACTGCAAAGATTGCTTTGTTCTGTAATCTAAAGTGTATATTCTATCATTTAATAACGATTTCAGATAGATTATCTGTATGTAGTCTTTTGTTAATTTGTAGCACTTACCAACAAGTTACTCTGCCAGACAATGATTATGGCTTCAGATATAGAAGAATATATTACAACAAAAATCACATGCATTTTATGAAGAAATGAAAGCCATTACACATATAAACTTAATGAATAGATGTTCATTTCGATGATTTGTTAGTTTTATTTTGTTAATTTGTAGCACTTACCAACAAGTCACATGCATAAGCCCACAATACAGTAGTCCAATCTCATATCGCTAGCACAAAGCCTAGTTTTTCGTTACCACGGCAACCGCTTGGTCTTCAGCGCATAAATATGTATGCATATCTATGCTTCAGCGTCCCACACCGCTTCTTGCAGGACATGTGAACTTGAAAAAATGCTTAATGTGGCTTAAAGTACAATGACAAATTCGGGATACAATATTACTGATCATGCATACAGGGAAGCACATGAGCCCAGATTTTGAACACAACATCCAACTTTGCAGGTTAAGCGTTGTCCTATAGAAAACCATTATAGAAAATGCATAAGCATTGCTGTTTTGTGTTGCATTCCTATTTTGGGTTCACCTGAATTTCTGTATATACAATATGCATGATCATTAAGTTGTGTACTGAATTTGGTTCACTCTGTCTTTGTACTTCAAGCCACGTTAAGCATTTTTCACGTTAAGTGTTGGTCCTGCAAGAAGCGGGACGCTGAAGACCAAGCGGTTGCCGTGGTAATGAACAACGATGCTTTGTGCTTTTGAAATGAGAAGGCTTACTGTGTGAACATTGCCTGTGATGCATGAAAGGGACAGCTAATAAAACTAATAAATCTTTGAAATACACATCTATAAATTAGGTTTATATATGTAATAATGTATTTATATATACATTATTATGAGAAAGTTTCTCATTATTACGAGAAACTAAGTCATTACGAGAAAGTTTCTCAATATACCGGGATACTAAGTCGTAATTTTGAGAAAGTTTCTCATTATAATGACTTACAGAACTATATTTTTTCTCAACTGTGGCGGAAACGGGCTTCCATTCAAAACCCATCTAACACTACACGATGACAAACAAATTTAACCTTTGGAAAAAAAATGTTAAAGAAATGCACAAAATGTATATTTATACGATTAACATTTAACATGCAAATTCATTGTTTGCCACATAATGACAGAAACGGTACAGACAATTCAATTAAATTCAAGTTTATTTGTATAGTGCTTTTTACGATACAAATCATTGCAAAGCAACTTTACAGAGACAACTCATGCCTTTACATTTTGTTTATTATAAAAAGAAATGCAACAAATTTAAAGAAATTGAATCCATTACAAAAACTGACAACCAAGGCTTTGATTTATACTGTTTTAAGACTCTGAATAAGAACAAACCACAAAGGAGTCCTCTGACTTATAATATAATAAGAATGCTTATAATTTAGGCCAGACTCGACTTACTTTACCTAACCTGAGAATAATAATTAACAGGGTTAAAGCTGTTAAGATCAAAGTACAAACCGCAAAAGACAAGATACCAAAGGAAAAATTATATTTCAGTTTCTCTTAAAAGGGTTAAAGGCTCTTCTTCAGAATCATGAACAAGAAAAAAAAAAATTCTAGAAAATTTAACAGTAAAAAGCATCAACATCTTTGAGCTGAGTTGTTGCTGGTCTTTAAGATGAAGCCTTTCATAGTGAAAACCAAAGATGATGCTTCTTTTTCCTGCTGTTTGTTACGGCTGATTAGGACTGATTTATACAGAAGAGATTTTATTGCTCAATGCATTATTGTGTCAAGTTTGGTGTGGATCATCTGAAGATGATCTGCGTATTGTGATTGACACGGTTTCTCTCCAGTGTGTATCCTCTCATGTGTTTTCAATTGTGCTGAATGGCTGAATCTCTCATCGCAGTGTAAACACTTGTAAGGTTTCTCTCCAGTGTGGATCCTCTCATGTGTTTTCAGTTGTGCTGAATGGCAGAATCTCTCATCGCAGTGTAAACACTTGTAAGGTTTCTCTGCAGTGTGTATCCTCTCATGTGTTTTCAGTTGTGATGACTGACTGAATCTCTTGTCACAGTGTGAACACTTGTAAGGTTTCTCTCCAGTGTGGATCCTCCGGTGCTGTTTCAGTTGTTGAGATCTAATAAAACTTTTCCCACAGTCAAAGCACACATGATCTCTCACACCAGTGTGTATCATCTGAATAGATGTTCATTTCGATGATCTGTTAGTTTTATTAGCTGTCACTAATAATTATATACTAATAATTATGCATCACATGCATAAGCCCACAATACAGTAGCCCAATCTCATATCACTAGCACAAAGCCTAGTTGTTCGTTACCACGGCAACCGCTTGGTCTTCAGCGCATAAATATGTATGCATATCTATGCTTCAGTGTCCCACACTGCTTCTTGCAGGACATGTGAACTTGAAAAAATGCTTAATGTGGCTTAAAGTACAATGACAAATTCGGGATACAATATTACTGATCATGCATACAGGGAAGCACATGAGCCCAGATTTTGAACACAACATCCAACTTTGCAGGTTAAGCGTTGTCCTATAGAAAACCATTATAGAAAATGCATAAGCATTGCTGTTTTGTGTTGCATTCCTATTTTGGGTTCACCTGAATTTCTGTATATACAATATGCATGATCATTAAGTTGTGTACTGAATTTGGTTCACTCTGTCTTTGTACTTCAAGCCACGTTAAGCATTTTTCACGTTAAGTGTTTGTCCTGCAAGAAGCGGGACGCTGAAGACCAAGCGGTTGCCGTGGTAA